GCGTGATACGGAAGAGGAGCGTGCAAAAGTAAAACTTTTTTCAGAGAAAAAATTGACTGATGCAAATACTTTGGTTGTTGGAATTGAGTCGAAGTCATTGGTGGTGGAAGAGAAGATGCATGCCGCTGAAGCCAAAATTGCAGAGGTAAACATAAAGAGTTCTGAACTGGAGATGAAATTGCAAGAGTTGGAGGCTCGTGAAAGTGTGCTTCAAAGGGAACGCCTCTCCCTAATTACAGAGTATGTTTCATGTTTGGTCCCTTTAATATCTAACTTGATAATTTCTATTAAACTTGCTTCAGCATTGGATTAAATGACATGGCATTGGCAAAAAATTTATATTTGATTCTGTTGTTCTTAGACGAGAAGCACACAAGGCAACGTTCTATAAACAGAGAGAAGACTTACGGGAGTGGGAGACAAAATTACAAAAGGGGGATGAGATGCTCATTGAGCTTAGGAGAACCATAAACCAGAGAGAGGAAAGTGCAAACGAAAAGGACCGGATTCTAAAGCAGAAAGAGAGGGACCTTGAAGAGTTGGAAAAGAAGATTGATTTGTCCAACTCAAAGTTGAAAGAGAGGGAGGATGATATAAATAACCGATTAGCAGATTTAGTTGTAAAAGAAAGAGTGGGTTCTTTTGGCCAATCTTTATTTGTTGGAATTATTTTATTTATGTTCATATTTTTCCTCTTCTTTGAGGCATAATTTTATTTTCTTGATTTTTTGATTCAGGAAGCTGACTCCCTAAGAAGCACATCAGAGGTGAAAAAGAAGGAATTATTGACATTGGAAGAAAAACTTACTGCTAGGGAAAGAGTGAGTTCCAATGCTTAATGTTTTCTGTTGCACATATCATATATAAATATTGGAATATGTCTTTCTTTTGTTTATTTTTTGTCTTCATTTCGTGAACTACAATATAATACATATGGCTCAGTTTAACTATCTTTTGCCAGTATTGAAAGCCTATTACCGTACCTACTACATCGAACACCAAAAGGGTATAGAAAACGAAAAGGACTAAAAACGATAAGTTTCACTCGTTCTAACAATCTACAACCTGAACCAAGTTGACTTGCATCATTTGATTTTGCTTGTCAAATTGTTCAAGCCTTTTAGATGTTTGCAAATATTTACCAATTTTAAGCATCTATTTATTTCCTGGTTTGTGGGTGTGTAAATGCTGTTGAGAGCCTCTGGCTTTAGTTCTTTTCATAGCCTTACTAGAATTAAACTTCTTCATGTGTGCTGCAATTTTTGCCTCTTAAGCTGCACATGGCAGCCAGAGTTTGTATCCCACTATTAAACTTCATGATGATCCTTACATTTGCTTGATACATAGATCTCTCCTTCTTGCGTTCACCTTCCCTGCCTTTCTCACTCTTTATTTATTTCAACACGTCAACTATTGCTGCCTCATATGTTGATTGGCAAACGTAATGAGTTGCTGAGGCTTGCAGGACTTTTCAGAGTGGTGAATTTCTATAACTATTGAGTTTTGCTTTAACTGGAGTGACAGTTAATCGCTACATATTCCAATTAGTGTGCATATTTGCACTTGAGCATCTGTTTCTGTTAATTTGTGTATGTTAGTTTTCACTTATTGATTAAGAAGAGTGCTAGTTAGAATGGTTACATTAGTTGGTCTCTAGGGAGAGAATGTGATGCTGTTTGTTCTTTCTTTGCTTTTGTTTGTTAAGCTGGCTAGATTGTAGTTATATAATTAAGTTGGCATTCTAGAATTTCTGTCAACCATGGGTCTTTTTTCAGGTGGAAATTCAGAAGCTTCTTGATGATCAAAAGTGCATTCTGGATGCTAAGAGGCAGGAGTTTGAGCGAGAACTGGAAGATAAGAGGAAATCAGTTGAAGAGGAAATGAGAAGCAAGGTAACTGCCCTGGAGCAGAAGGAATTTGAAATTAAACACAAGGAAGAGAAGTTGGGAAAAAGAGAACAAGCATTGGATAAGAAGTCAGTGAGAGTTAAAGAGAAAGGGAAGGATCTTGAAGCAAGGTTGAAATCTGTAAAAGAAACAGAAAAGATTTTGAAAGCTGAGGAGAAAAATTTGGAGTTTGAAAAGCAACAATTGATTGCTGACAGAGAGAGCTTGGAGATTCTCAAATCTGACATTGATAAGTTAGAGGCTGAAACTTCTGAGCAGGAGTTCCAGATTCAAGAAGAACGTCAGAAGCTTAAAATTATTGAAGAAGAGAGGTCGGAACATCGGCGTTTGAAGTCAGAGTTGAAACAGCAGATAGAAATGTTCAGACATCAGCAGGAGTTACTTCTGAAGGAACATGAAGATTTGAAACAGGAAAGGGGGAGGTTTGAGAAAGAATGGGAAGGGCTAGATGAGAAAAGAGATGAAATTAGTAAAGAGCTGAAAAATATTGCTGAAGAGAAACATAAGTTGGAAAAATTGCAGCATTCAGAAGAAAAAAGATTTAAAAAAGAGGAATCTGCAATGCAGGATTATATTCAGAGGGAGTTGGAAGCTATTAGACTGAAGAAAGAATCATTTGAAGCAACAATGAAGCATGAGCAGTTGCTTTTATCTGAAAATGCTCAAAATGAGCGCAAGAAGATGCTTGAAGATTTTGAGACGCAGAAAATGAATCAAGAATCTGACATACTGAATAGACAGGAAAGAATGGAAAAAGATCTGCAGGAAAGGAAGAGAGCATTTTATGAAAAGAAAGAGGGAGAACTTAATGAATTAAATCACTTGAAGGAAGTTGCTGAGAAAGAAATGCAAGAAATAAGATGTGAGAGGGATGAATTCGAGAGGCAGAAGCAGGAAGTTAAAATGAACAAAGAAAAGCTGAAAGAACAACAACTTGGAATGCGCAAGGACATTGATGAGCTTGACATTCTTTGCAGGAGGCATTATCATGATCGCAAACATTTTAAGCGCGAAAAAGAACACTTCCTTGAGTTTGTTGAGAAGCAAAAGAGTTGTGAGAACTGTGGAGAAATGACAAGGGAATTTGTACTTTCCGATATGCGATTACCTGATGTGGAAGATGAGGATGCTCTTCCTTTATCAATTCTGGCTGATAGATCTTTGGGCAACCTTCAAGGTGCTATAGGTGTTCCATATGATTCAAATACTGAGAGATCTCATGCACTTGATTTGGGATATGCAGATGCTGGAGGTCGCATGTCTTGGTTACGTAAATGCACTTCTAGGATTTTTAGCATCTCTCCTACTAAAAAGAGTGCTCGTGGTTCTACTTCAGTTTTGGGAGAGGAACAACTACAGTTACCTGTGCCAGCTGATAAGCAAGAAAAGACTGAGGGGTCTGGTGTGCTTGTCAGTAAAGAAGCAAGATCATGCAAAATTCCAGAAGATGAATTCCAACCATCTCTCAGGATGGCAAATGATTCCTTTGATTTTCAACAGCTCCAATCTGATAACACAATCAGAGAGGTGGATGATGGGTATGCTCCATCTGTTGATGATCATAGCTACATGGATAGCAAGGTACAAGACATTCCTGAAGATTCCCTGCAGTCAGAACTAAGGAGTGCTCGCCGGAAACCTGGGAGGAAGCCCAAGTCTGGATTGAACAGAACACGCTCAGTGAAGGCTGTGGTTGATGATGCAAAGAAGTTTCTTGGGGAAAGCCCTGAAGGTGCAAAATTTAATGCGAGCATGCAGGCGCATGAGGATAATCAAGGGATTTCTAGCCATACTGAGGAGGCAGCTGGTGGTGGTACTGCAAGGAAGCGGCGACGATCACAAACATCTAAAATTACAGAAAGTGAGCAAGATGGTGCTGATAGCGAGGGACCTTCAGACAGTGTCACTGCTGGTGGACGCAGGAAGAGACAGCAGACTGTTGTTCAAGCCCTACCAGCTCCAGGAGAGAAGCGATACAATCTCAGACGACACAAGACGTAAGTCCCTGATGTGTTTATTTGCAAGTGAATTTTGTGGCATGGTGACTGCCAATTTTGCAGTTCTATAGTCTATACGTAGAATGATGTTAGTTTTATTGAGTGTCCTAGTTGGATTTTTCCTGGTGAATTGATAGAAAATGAAGATTGATCCTGCTAGATTTTTTTTGAGTATTACTTTAGCTGTACAAGCAACAGAACACACTCAACCAAATCTGATATGTTATTTAATCTTTATCAGTGCAAACACAGCCGTAGCTGCACAAGCCGTAGCAACACAAGCCGCATCTGATCTGAACAAGACAGGGAAGAAGATAGCCAAAGGTGCTAGTGTAGTGGAAGCAGTACCAAATCCAGGCGCTGCATCTGTGTTGTCTCTGGGAGTTGCTAGTGAGAATGGCAAATCTACCCAATTGGTGCAGGTAACAGCAGTAAAAAGTGTGGAGTTCTCACAGGACAGGGTTGTCCAGGTAAAACCTGTTTCCTCTTTCCATGTTTGTATTAGTTGCTGATTATCAGCTGATATTCCTGAGCATTTCTTTTGTTGGGCCACTTTTTCATTAGTTATTATGTTATACAGTTTAAGGCAACTGAGGACATTGTTGATGATAATGCTGATGGCCAGAAGTCAATTGAAAATACTGAGTTGAGTGAGGAAGTTAATGGTACACCAGAAGATGTTGATGAAGATGAGAATGGGAGTACAATCCTTGAGGATGAAGATGATGATGACGACGATGATGATGGTTCAGATCATCCTGGTGAAGTGTCAATTGGGAAGAAGCTGTGGAATTTTTTTACATCTTGAAGGGTATCGCTCCCCCCTCCCTTTGCTTTTCCTGATTTTTGCTATTCAAAGTGAGCAAGATTGTTAGATGTTGGACTTGCAAGTTGACTTGCATCATTTGATTTTGCTTGTCAAATTGTTCAAGCCTTTTAGATGTTTGCAAATATTTACCAATTTTAAGCATCTATTTATTTCCTGGTTTGTGGGTGTGTAAATGCTGTTGAGAGCCTCTGGCTTTAGTTCTTTTCATAGCCTTACTAGAATTAAACTTCTTCATGTGTGCTGCAATTTTTGCCTCTTAAGCTGCACATGGCAGCCAGAGTTTGTATCCCACTATTAAACTTCATGATGATCCTTACATTTGCTTGATACATAGATCTCTCCTTCTTGCGTTCACCTTCCCTGCCTTTCTCACTCTTTATTTATTTCAACACGTCAACTATTGCTGCCTCATATGTTGATTGGCAAACGTAATGAGTTGCTGAGGCTTGCAGGACTTTTCAGAGTGGTGAATTTCTATAACTATTGAGTTTTGCTTTAACTGGAGTGACAGTTAATCGCTACATATTCCAATTAGTGTGCATATTTGCACTTGAGCATCTGTTTCTGTTAATTTGTGTATGTTAGTTTTCACTTATTGATTAAGAAGAGTGCTAGTTAGAATGGTTACATTAGTTGGTCTCTAGGGAGAGAATGTGATGCTGTTTGTTCTTTCTTTGCTTTTGTTTGTTAAGCTGGCTAGATTGTAGTTATATAATTAAGTTGGCATTCTAGAATTTCTGTCAACCATGGGTCTTTTTTCAGGTGGAAATTCAGAAGCTTCTTGATGATCAAAAGTGCATTCTGGATGCTAAGAGGCAGGAGTTTGAGCGAGAACTGGAAGATAAGAGGAAATCAGTTGAAGAGGAAATGAGAAGCAAGGTAACTGCCCTGGAGCAGAAGGAATTTGAAATTAAACACAAGGAAGAGAAGTTGGGAAAAAGAGAACAAGCATTGGATAAGAAGTCAGTGAGAGTTAAAGAGAAAGGGAAGGATCTTGAAGCAAGGTTGAAATCTGTAAAAGAAACAGAAAAGATTTTGAAAGCTGAGGAGAAAAATTTGGAGTTTGAAAAGCAACAATTGATTGCTGACAGAGAGAGCTTGGAGATTCTCAAATCTGACATTGATAAGTTAGAGGCTGAAACTTCTGAGCAGGAGTTCCAGATTCAAGAAGAACGTCAGAAGCTTAAAATTATTGAAGAAGAGAGGTCGGAACATCGGCGTTTGAAGTCAGAGTTGAAACAGCAGATAGAAATGTTCAGACATCAGCAGGAGTTACTTCTGAAGGAACATGAAGATTTGAAACAGGAAAGGGGGAGGTTTGAGAAAGAATGGGAAGGGCTAGATGAGAAAAGAGATGAAATTAGTAAAGAGCTGAAAAATATTGCTGAAGAGAAACATAAGTTGGAAAAATTGCAGCATTCAGAAGAAAAAAGATTTAAAAAAGAGGAATCTGCAATGCAGGATTATATTCAGAGGGAGTTGGAAGCTATTAGACTGAAGAAAGAATCATTTGAAGCAACAATGAAGCATGAGCAGTTGCTTTTATCTGAAAATGCTCAAAATGAGCGCAAGAAGATGCTTGAAGATTTTGAGACGCAGAAAATGAATCAAGAATCTGACATACTGAATAGACAGGAAAGAATGGAAAAAGATCTGCAGGAAAGGAAGAGAGCATTTTATGAAAAGAAAGAGGGAGAACTTAATGAATTAAATCACTTGAAGGAAGTTGCTGAGAAAGAAATGCAAGAAATAAGATGTGAGAGGGATGAATTCGAGAGGCAGAAGCAGGAAGTTAAAATGAACAAAGAAAAGCTGAAAGAACAACAACTTGGAATGCGCAAGGACATTGATGAGCTTGACATTCTTTGCAGGAGGCATTATCATGATCGCAAACATTTTAAGCGCGAAAAAGAACACTTCCTTGAGTTTGTTGAGAAGCAAAAGAGTTGTGAGAACTGTGGAGAAATGACAAGGGAATTTGTACTTTCCGATATGCGATTACCTGATGTGGAAGATGAGGATGCTCTTCCTTTATCAATTCTGGCTGATAGATCTTTGGGCAACCTTCAAGGTGCTATAGGTGTTCCATATGATTCAAATACTGAGAGATCTCATGCACTTGATTTGGGATATGCAGATGCTGGAGGTCGCATGTCTTGGTTACGTAAATGCACTTCTAGGATTTTTAGCATCTCTCCTACTAAAAAGAGTGCTCGTGGTTCTACTTCAGTTTTGGGAGAGGAACAACTACAGTTACCTGTGCCAGCTGATAAGCAAGAAAAGACTGAGGGGTCTGGTGTGCTTGTCAGTAAAGAAGCAAGATCATGCAAAATTCCAGAAGATGAATTCCAACCATCTCTCAGGATGGCAAATGATTCCTTTGATTTTCAACAGCTCCAATCTGATAACACAATCAGAGAGGTGGATGATGGGTATGCTCCATCTGTTGATGATCATAGCTACATGGATAGCAAGGTACAAGACATTCCTGAAGATTCCCTGCAGTCAGAACTAAGGAGTGCTCGCCGGAAACCTGGGAGGAAGCCCAAGTCTGGATTGAACAGAACACGCTCAGTGAAGGCTGTGGTTGATGATGCAAAGAAGTTTCTTGGGGAAAGCCCTGAAGGTGCAAAATTTAATGCGAGCATGCAGGCGCATGAGGATAATCAAGGGATTTCTAGCCATACTGAGGAGGCAGCTGGTGGTGGTACTGCAAGGAAGCGGCGACGATCACAAACATCTAAAATTACAGAAAGTGAGCAAGATGGTGCTGATAGCGAGGGACCTTCAGACAGTGTCACTGCTGGTGGACGCAGGAAGAGACAGCAGACTGTTGTTCAAGCCCTACCAGCTCCAGGAGAGAAGCGATACAATCTCAGACGACACAAGACGTAAGTCCCTGATGTGTTTATTTGCAAGTGAATTTTGTGGCATGGTGACTGCCAATTTTGCAGTTCTATAGTCTATACGTAGAATGATGTTAGTTTTATTGAGTGTCCTAGTTGGATTTTTCCTGGTGAATTGATAGAAAATGAAGATTGATCCTGCTAGATTTTTTTTGAGTATTACTTTAGCTGTACAAGCAACAGAACACACTCAACCAAATCTGATATGTTATTTAATCTTTATCAGTGCAAACACAGCCGTAGCTGCACAAGCCGTAGCAACACAAGCCGCATCTGATCTGAACAAGACAGGGAAGAAGATAGCCAAAGGTGCTAGTGTAGTGGAAGCAGTACCAAATCCAGGCGCTGCATCTGTGTTGTCTCTGGGAGTTGCTAGTGAGAATGGCAAATCTACCCAATTGGTGCAGGTAACAGCAGTAAAAAGTGTGGAGTTCTCACAGGACAGGGTTGTCCAGGTAAAACCTGTTTCCTCTTTCCATGTTTGTATTAGTTGCTGATTATCAGCTGATATTCCTGAGCATTTCTTTTGTTGGGCCACTTTTTCATTAGTTATTATGTTATACAGTTTAAGGCAACTGAGGACATTGTTGATGATAATGCTGATGGCCAGAAGTCAATTGAAAATACTGAGTTGAGTGAGGAAGTTAATGGTACACCAGAAGATGTTGATGAAGATGAGAATGGGAGTACAATCCTTGAGGATGAAGATGATGATGACGACGATGATGATGGTTCAGATCATCCTGGTGAAGTGTCAATTGGGAAGAAGCTGTGGAATTTTTTTACATCTTGAAGGGTATCGCTCCCCCCTCCCCTCTAGTTTTTTTTTTTATTTTCTTCATTTAATTCTTTGAACTCACTGTCCGGAGTATGTTTTCTTTCTGTTTTAGGTGTTACACTAACAGGGAAAATTTAGCATAAACTGGTATAATTCCTTATCCTTATAAACCCGTCTTCTTCGGGGAATAAACAATTGTTAGGGAAAGCTGGCGGTTGATACTGATTTTGTTCAAGATTTGGAGCCTGGTTTATTGATAGCAGCACGGCCTAGTTGATTTTATGTACTTTTAGTTGTAACTTCTTGGTGCAATTTTAATGAGCGACACCTTTGATAATTTATATTTGCATATATGGTTGACAAAACCAAAGCCCCTAATCTTTATGTATCGTCTCCAGTTACAGTCTGGATCATTTTCTTGGTATTATGTGAGCTGGTTTTCACGGTTATGGATGGTTCTTCAATGAACATAAGCACTAACAAATAGAATGTATAAGAATCGGAGTTCATGAAGCTTCAAGAAAGAGACATGTAGCTGTAGCTTAATTTCAAGATAAATTTCAAGTAATGTTACAAATATTTAATGTGGCAGCCACATTGCATGATGTGTTTCTTAATAGTTACAGTTTTAAACCACTTCTTTGAGGTTATTATTCCTGTATTGCGCGTGTTCTCTCTTGATCTGCTTTTTATGAATGTGATGCAGAGATTAAAATGTAGTGGGATTAGTGAAGAAGATTCGGCTTCATAATTAAATTTTGTCCTTTTGGGTTGGAAAAGAAGCCGAGGTGAAAAGAAGAGGTACTGATTCCAGTTAAAGCGCTTTTAGTGTTTGTATTTTAGTAATTACCAGTACTTATTCTTCTTCTTCTTCTATATATAAGTTTAATTTAATTGGATGGTGGAAGTAAAAGGTAATGACTGCTTGCTTTCACATAAAATCGGTGGGATTTGTTAAATAAAATACTGAATTTGTTTGACGAGTCTCCATCAGGAGTGGATATAGATCTGCACGTATTGATATCTTGGTTACGGAAGATCTGTCAGCGATGTCATTTGAACTTTTAACAACATAAGCATTGATGATACAGATATTTAGGTAAGTTTCTTGGGAAATTTGTTGATGGTAAACTTAGAATATGAGTATTTGATTTCCAAATCCCGGGATTTCTGGTCAAGCAAAATGCGTCCTTTTAATCACAGGCTCAGCCAGTAGTACTGTTTTGGCCTCCCACTAACATTAATGAACACCCCCACCCTCTTTTTTCATTTCATATCTGTTGTAAAATGAATAAAATAAAAGAGAAATCTAGGAAGGGATGAAACTGTAATCATATAATAGGATAGGGACTAGAAAGAGATAGAATAACGGGGGGCTCTTGAATTATTGCTCTTTAACTAAGATTTATGCCGATTCAAGTGTGTTTTGCAAATGAAAATGTGAGCCAAAGATGAGAAGCCATCTAAGCCAATAAAACAATAGGATAAAATTAGGGGTGAGTACTTTCAGGTACCCTGTATTTTTCAGGGGAACTAGAACCGGAACTTCACAGTGCAGGTTCCCAAAAAAATGAACCAGAATCGGAACTGTACAGTGCAAGTTCTTAAATTTAAAGAACCGGAACTTAAAATGCAGGTTTCGGTTCCTTTCCCAAGTACCTTATAAAAAATCAATTAACCCCTATTAGTTTAAAAAATGACAAAAATACCTTAAAAGTTTACAAATACATCACTAACAAAATTTGATTACTCATTCATTTGTGTCCAATGTGACTCATAAATCCTCTAATCTCTAAGCAACATTTGAATTCAATTAATTCATCACAATTCACATAGAATTCCTCAATCAAAACCAAAACACAAACAATTAATTAAACAATCATACTATAAATCTATAATTTAATATTATAATTAATTAAATTTCTAATCATTTAATTAAGTATTGTACTAATGTTTATAATGGAATATTATAATTAATTAAGTAATTATACTATAAATCTATATAATGTAATGTTATAATTAAATAATTTTTTTATCATTTAATTAAGTAATGTACTAACGTAATAAATTACTAATGTTTATAATGTAATGTTATAAATTTATAATTAATTAAGTAATCATTTAACTATATAATGTTATAATTAATTAAGTAATTATAATATAATGTAATGTTATAAATAATTAAGTAATTATTTAATTTTAATTTAATGTTTTAATTAATTAAATTTTTAATCATTTAATTAAGTATTGTATTAATGTTTATAATAGAATGTTATAATTAATTAAGTAATCATTTGTTTATAACCTAATGTTATAATTAATTAAGTAATCATACTATAAATTTATAATATAATACTATAATTAATTAAATTTTTAATCATTTAATTAAATATTGTGCTAATGTAATAAAAAAACTAATATTTATAATATAATGTCATAATTAATTAAGTAATTATTAAATTATATAATGTTATAATTAATTATGTGATCATACTATAATGTAATGTTATAATGAATTAAGTAAACATACTATAAATCTTTAATGTAATATTATAATTAATTAAATTTATAATCATTTAATTAAGTATTATACTAATGTAGTACATTACTAATGTTTATAATATAATGTCATAATTAATTATGTAATGTTATAATTAATTATGTGATTATACTATAATGTAATATTATAATGGATTGGGTAATCATACTATAAATTTTTAATGTAATATTATAATTAATTAAATTTCTTATCGTTTAATTAAATATTGTACTAATGTTTATAATGGAATGCTATAATTAATTAAGTAATTATTAGTTTATAATGTAATGTTATAATTAATTAAGTAATTGTACTATAAATCTATAATGTAATGTTATAATTAATTAAAATTTTAATTATTTAATTAAATAATGTACTAAATTACTAATGTAACGTTATAAACTTATAATTAATTAAGTAATAATTTAACTATAATGTAATGTTATAATTGATTAAGTAATCATTTAACTAGTAATGTATTAATGTTTATCGATTTATCAAATATAATTAATTAATTACTAATTTACTATATATATACTTAGAACTTGAAGTAAATAACTAAATATTATATTATTATTCATTCAGATATACTATTTTATTCAAAAATAATATTTTTAATAACATTAAAACACTTTTAATTTGTTATAATTCCAATTATACATTTAATTAATCAAAACTTTAATATTAATATATTAAAGTTTTTTATATGGTATAGTTTATATGTAATAAGTATAATTGTATATTTATTTAATTAGGTTATTGTAAAAATTTAACTTTTTCTATTTTAAATTTTATTATATGTAAAATTACAATAAACCCTGTATTCTTCATAGATATTTTATTTCAGCCCAGACTCCAAAACAGGGTATTTCCTGAGGTTCCAAGTTGGGTACCTGTTGCAGGTTCTTTTTTTCATGTTCTAGTTTCTCCACATGTAGGAACCGAAACCAAAAACGGAACCAGAACCGCACAATGTCGATTCTAAAAAAATGGAACCAGAACCTACTCGCATAGTATCGATTCTAGGTAGATTTCGATTCTGGTTCAGATTCTATCCGCTACTTGTACTCACCCCTTGATAAAACTTGATCAAAGGAAAAAAGAGTACAGTGCACATGTGTCATAGATCAGTCTCCTTCAAAAGATTTGCTCTATCTAATATTATGCATAAAATCATTGATAAACTCAATTACTTATTAAGTCCCCATATGTTGATTCCAAATACTAGCTTCTCAAAAGAGCCTACACCTATTACAAAATCATTTGTTTAGACGTTTTAATAACAATTCTCTCATAGGCAAATTGTAGCTAACAAACTAAGAGGACTTCACGTACGGTATAAAAGAATTTTAGAATGCGATTGGTTTTATCTCCTTTGATGTATCATCCTTTGACTTATCAATACAGGCTACATTATCTTTATATATGGTCATAGATATATTTGTGATTGGAGAAAGTCTTCATGTACTTCGTATATGATGGTTGATAGATTGTAGTTATATGCATTACAGTTCAAGGAAAAAAAAAAAAAAAGAGGTCTGTCTACACGCTTAACAATTTGCGAATATCAAGAAAAGAAAGTAACCTGACGAAGACAGAGCTCAATGTAACAATATAGTTCAACTAACTTGAAAGTTGGTTTCTGGTTGCAACACTCCAGTCTTCATCTAAATTTTGTGAGCCAACTTGGCAAAAGGCGCAAAGCAGTGGCTAGTACACAGTACAAACAGGTAATTAAATTAGATAATAATTAATTATAGGGATAAGGTAGGCACTTATTTAGATAAAAAGGTTTGTAAATGTGGGTGTGTAGGCAGCAAGATGAGAGAAAGGGACTTGTCACTTGTCTGGGTGCGTTAGGCCTGCCATTAAAAATTAAATAGCGTTTGGGCTATTACTTAGTAGCCTTCCATAGATTCAGTCTCAGCCCCAAACTCAACACTACTGTGTCTGTGTGGTCCAAACTCACTTCAACCCCAATGCCTCTTATCTTCATTATTACTATTGCATTTCTTTTACCTTTTCATTCAATTCTTGTCAGGTTCTCTTCTGTACAATTTACCGCCCACAGGGTCCAGCACTTCAGCCTGGCCTCAATAAATCAATATGCCTTCCTTCTCATCAGACACACTATGTTGATTTCCCCTTCTTTTTTTTTTTTTTTTTTTTTTTTAATGATTGGGTATTCAGGATCAATTGATATGAACCTCAATTAGTCTTTTAAAATCTTAAAATTATTAGTTGAATAAGAGTTTCAATAACTACCCTTATTAATACTCGAAGAAGAATTTAAATTCAAAACCTTTTAAATAATTTATTTAAAAATCTTTATCGAACTACTGACTTTGTTAAATTGTTAATTAAGAGAAATTTAATCTCTTGCGGTTTAAGTATAAACTACCATGGAATACTTAAAAGAACTCTTCCCGATTTTAATGAACATTAGTCAAAACCATCAATATTATTATTTAAAATTTTCGTCATTTCATTTTTAACTAATAAATTGTACAAACTTTCTAATATTTGAAACGACATGATCTGAACACTTGTTATTATTGTTTTCCCAATCTGAAGGTAAATTTGTTACAGTAGAGTTTATAAATAAATTTTTAAAGAAGCTTGAGAAAGTAATAAAAAGGAAAATATGATGGAGATTGGAGATATAAGTTGAGTTGACCCATAGGATAATATGACACTTTTATGTTATGACATATCATTACACCATTGATTGCTGGTGTGACTACTAAATAAGGTAATCGAAAACGATGTAACATCAAATATGGCAATACCAAAATAAATTTACTCAATTTTTTGTTAAAATAAAACCAATAAATATTATACCCCTCTTTTATAAATGAATAAAAAAATAAATAAATAAAATTATTAATTATTATATAATTAAAATAAAAAAATAAAAAAAAAATACAACAAATATTTCAAAAAATAAAAAAAATAAAAAAAGAAAAAATTTCAATGGATAACTTTATTAAAAATCGAAGAAGGATTAAAACTAATGACCTCATGAGTAATACACTAAAGATTAAAAAGTCTTTATCGAACCGATCAAACATCCAGAGATAGTTTATAGGAATAATATCACTCTTACAAAAAGGATAAAAATGTATAGTTAATTTATTAAATAAAAATAAATAATATATCAATCAATGAGTAATGGTATATCACTTTGTTTAATTAACTTTATATATCAACATTGTAAGAGTAATACTATTTTTAATACATATTTATCAAAACCTTTCATTAAACGAAGAAGATGATATTAAACACCATAAATATAAAATTGAAACCTAAATCCTTTGAACTTGGCAAAATATGATGTTTGATTTATTATTAAAACATTTGTATGAATGGTTGAATTGGCATTCATTATTCAATCACATAAAATACAATATAAAAGATAATAGTAATTTGACAACCTCAATGCAATTTTGTCGTTTGTTATAAGTGTCTGCGAGAGTGTTGTTGAGAAACCAAAAACAGAAAAGCAGAAGCTCAAAAAGAAAGAACAAGAAGGACAGCTAGAGATAAAAACTCATCTTTGTCTTGCATGTATTTTCATGGACCTCTTCTTTGCATGGCCAAATACAAATGGTCCCCTCGACTTCTGTCACTGTAAAACCCTAACCCTAATCCTATATATCGATATTTAGCCATCTCGTGCAGCAAATAATAATAAATCTCCCAACAACCGTTTACTTTTTACCATCTCTGTTTAACCACCATTAATTCACAAATAATATTACAGTAATTAAATCAAAAGTCAGATAAAGAGAATCACAACTCAAAAGCCCTTCAAAGACACATCCCTTTCTTTCGCTTTCACTTTTCTATACCCTTCGGCTTCATTTATTGCTCTTCTTCTCTTCTTATTATTGTCATTTCTATTATTACTTTTAAGAACTGTGCATAGCTCTTGTGTTCTGTTCTCTGCTCTCTATATACTTCCTTAGCTTTTCCATAAACATGACCAACTTTAAGATGTCAAGTTCTTTCCTTTGCTTTTCTATTCTCTTTAGTTTTCTTTCCTGTTCAGTGTAGTTACTATTGACTCTTTCTTCTTCATCTTTCTTTGTCATTAATTTTCTATAACTTTAATATCAATGGTTTTCAAAATGATTTTGCACCTATGTTGATGGTCTTGACTCTTCACTGCCGGTTTCCTTTTTCTTTTTGGTTTTTTCTTGACCTCACATTGATATTTGATACAAAAAGGCTTCCATCTTGTCAAAAACTGAAAGAGACCCGTTTTGTTCATTGACCACAATGTTTAACTGGGTGGTTGGAGCCAAGTTTCTTGACTCTGTTTTTGCTCTGTTTCTACTTAATTTGTCTTAGTTTTTGTTGCTTCTTCTTGACAGTTAAGAGCTATAGATTTCTGTAAATACCAATGAAGTGTTGCATGGGCATGGATCGGTTCATTTTGGTTGTGTTTTTAGTGTTTAGTTTGGGTGTATCATGGTGCTACGGAGAAGGAGACATTGGTGTGGCTCCAATGGAGAAAGCAGAGCAAGAAGCACTTTACAGTGCCATACAAGGCTTTATGGGGAATTGGTGGAATGGGTCAGATCTCTTTCCGGATCCTTGTGGCTGGACTCCTATAGAGGTACTACTGTACTGTCAACCTCCATAAACTCTACTGTTGCATTGCTGAATCTCCATTCGACCCTCTCTATTTGTGCCAAAGTCCAAAGATGAGCTTCATTTCAAGTATTTGTCATTTAAGAAAGTATTTTAAGTGATGCGATACCCTTAAAATAGTTATAACCTGAATGACACTTTGAAACTTCTCCTCGCTAAATATAATATATTATTTTCTGTTTTACAAGCCTACACTTCATAAGATTTGGTGTTTAAAGAACAATATTTGCTAGTTTGTTCATGAATTATGCTGCTTTATAATTTTCCATCTGGCGGTTTGAACTTTCATCAAGAATACTATGTGAATAGAATTACATATTTTTTTTTTCTGGATTTTGCATAATGAGGTGATGTCATAGCCAGTATGTTTAGTAATAAGTACTGCTCATTATGTTCCAAAACTGGAAACTGGCAGATTTTTTAGTGAAATATCTTTCATAGAATGCCATTTCTTAGAACCCCTCTTTTGGACAACAATACCATTTAATTCCCAACTGTAAAACACAAGTTGTTTCATTCATTTCACTTGCTGAAATTGAATGTTCATGACCAGATAACATATTTCGAATGTAGACTGGATTTAACCATACTCATTTTGTACTGAAAGGTCACAATGTGAGATTTCTTACTTTGGTTTTGCATTATTCTATACGCAGGGTGTCTCTTGTGATGTCTATGACGGCCTTTGGTATGTCACTTCCTTAAGCATCGGATCCATTCATGACAACTCCATTAACTGTGTCACAAATGTGGAATTCAGAGCACAACTGTTTGAACTTAAGCACCTAAAATCACTCTCCTTCTTCAACTGCTTCACATCATCTCGCCAACATCCGGTCACCATCCCTAGTAACGGCTGGGAAATGCTTGCTGGCAGCCTAGAATCATTAGAGTTTCGATCAAACTCCGGTCTGGTCGGAAAAATTCCTACAAGTTTTGGTTGCCTAGTGAAGCTCCAATCTTTAGTACTAATAGAAAATGGATTGACAGGAGAGATACCAACAAATATTGGCAACTTAATCAACTTGAAGAGGCTAGTCATGTCTGGAAATTGGCTCAATGGTCATATTCCTGAGATTTTTGGTGGGTTAAGTGAACTACTAATTCTGGATTTAAGTAGGAATTCACTGTCTGGGGCTATGCCCTTGACTATTGGAGCTATGAGGTCGCTCTTGAAGCTTGATCTGAGCAACAATCAATTGGAAGGAAAGGTCCCAAAAGAGATTGGTTATCTAAAGAATGTGACCCTTTTGGACCTTAGAAAGAATAAGTTTTCAGGTGGATTGACTCAGTCACTTCAAGAGTTGTATTCTTTAGAAGAGATGGTCTTGTCCAACAACCCAATAGGTGGAGACCTCAAGAGCATAGAGTGGCAGAACCTGAAAAACTTGGTGATTTTGGACCTCTCAAGCATTGGATTAGTTGGTGAAATTCCTGAGTCCATGGCTGAGTTGAAGAGGGTGAGATTTTTGGGTCTTAGTAACAACAAGCTCACAGGCAATCTTCCACCGAAGCTAGCAACTATGCCCTGTGTTGGTGCATTGTACCTAAATGGAAACAATCTGACAGGAGAGCTTCAATTCTCTGAATGGTTTTATGGAAAAATGGGGAGGCGCTTTGGGGCCTGGAACAACCCTAACCTTTGTTACCCATTTTATGTAATCTCAACAGGTCATATGCCATATGGAGTTAAACCATGCAAACAAGAGGTCACATTGCTTGAACCCAATTCAAAATCCAGGTTGGTTACTGGTGATGAGAACAAAAAATCTCATGTCATGGTCTCTTTGGGATTCTCAACGTCTGGTCTTAATGAGTTTGGCTGGATTTTAACAGTTGAGATACTCATGGTTCTTCTACTCTTCAACTCTTTTATATAAGCTTCTATCTAGTGCTAAGATGCTAGGTCTAGAATTAATTTGTTTAGATGTAACAGTTGTGTCATTTATCTTTTTAATCTTCTCTCGTTGCTAGTCACCTAACACAAAGCTGATAGCTTTGTTCTGTAACACTAATTTCTAACAGTGATGATATTTCATTAGCTGAAATGAAATGGGTGAGAGCTACTTTGAGTATATGCAAACATGGAAATATATATATGCAAAGTAGTCGATCTGTCCCCATTATAAGCAATATTGTAGCACAGCATATATTAAGCAACTCATTATTCTTTTGAGGTTTAAATTTCATGAATTCTAAAGAATGTTTTCCTTTATTGAAGTTTCAAACATTTTCCCTGTCAAACTTGATGAACAGTTTTCTATTTGATTCATGACGGACCAAGCAACTTCAAACAGTGAGAATCTTGGTAATGGGGGGGGACAAAATCACAAAACAGTTAAATTGGGATCCCCATTTTTGGTTATTTTATTTGCGTTTGAATGCAAGGCAGTCATTAAGTTTAATACGTTGAACGAGAAGTGAAGGGTAAAGGATGATTAGAGTTGCAGGTGGTCACCGGTCTGTGCTTTGGCTCTAATGAAATAGACTTAGTACCCTAGCTGGCAACACCTCTCTCCGGTCTGGACTCTGGACCTCATGTTTAAAGAGCATGATGAAGAAACAGATAATTGTCAGTTGATGTGGGCCTCACTTTGTTCTAGGTTGGCTTCTTCTATGGATTGTTCTTGGGGGCATTCAATTAAAACGCCTCTCATCTCTGCGAAATGAATTAAAATGCCGCCCTCATTTGGAGTTTCTTATGATCATAATAAATACTAAATTTAAAATAAAATTTAACGTTAAATATTTCACTTTTATTTTTATAATCAAGGTATTCAGACTAACATTTTAAAGTGATTTGAACCTAAGAAGTCGATGAAGGAAACAAACATTTTTTATATCAATTAATTGACATTATTACTTCACATTTCTTTCATTTGTTTTTGATATACAAGCAAATATCTTTTGGGAGGCATACACATTTTATTGGAATAAGCAAAGTAGTATATGTAATAAAAAAATGCTATGTGTACAATTTCTTCTTATAAACTTTTTCTTATAACCTTGATATAACAACTTACTTGATAAATTACGGTTGACCAATGATAGACTGTTACGTCCGGATTATAAGAGAAAAATTATGAGAAGAGAAAATGAATGTAGTATTACTCATATTTAATATAAAAATAACAGTCACATCATATGTGAACATTTGGAGTCTATCAGTTGTACATCATTACATCAGATGAGCTTTTATCTTTGAAAGAAGCCAAATGGATTATCATTTATCCAAGTCAATACAAACGAAACTAGAAGCCGATTTTTAGGAACTTACTAATATCATCAATTGACTTTTTTGCCTTTTTTAATCATATAGTATAATATACTATTCATGTTTCCTTAGGATAGAACCATAAATATACTTCAGAAATTGTTAATCTTAACAAATGGTAATAACCAGTTGAATGGACTTAAATAAAGAAAGTGTAATTGTCAAATTAGGAATGTGCTATGTCACTGGGTAACGTACTCTTACTTTTATGCAATTGCTGGGTGCCTAAAATCAGCTAATTCCGGCCCATAGAAAAGTCGAAATTGGGTGTGGAGAAACAGGGTTAAGCCTGCATACAATTGATTTGGTAGAATATGCCAAAAGAGGTAGGAAGTTACACTAATAATTATTTAGGATATGGTAGAGCTATACACGTATAGCATCCTGTACTGATATTGACATTTTATATTTGATTTTCACTCCAAAAATAAAAATAAAAAAATGAAACATCTTTATACATCTTTCTTCTCTATTACTAGGTTAGATTACCAATAATTTAAAAGCCATCTCTAGGGCTGCCGGAACCTTATAATATATAGTAATATTGAGCCTTAATTTAAGTTTTCATGTCAATCAATTATCTTTATAATAAGATATTATTAGAGGGTTTAAATTACATTGTTTCGAAAAAAATTTTTAAATTAATTAAGTAATCATTTGTTTATAATCTAATATATAATAAATTAGTAACAATAATTATAATGTATATATATTAATTAATTTCTAATCATTTATTAAGTATTGTGCTAATGTAGTAAAAAACTAATATTTATAATTAATTTCATAATTAATTAAGTAATATTAATTATAATGTTATTAATTATGTATCATACTTGTTATAATGAATTAAGTAATTATACTATAAACTTTAATGTAATATTATAATTAATTAAATTTCTAATCATTTAATTAAATTTGTACATTGTTTATATAAAATGTTATAATTATTAAATATTATTTGTTTATAACATAATGTTATAATTATTAAATAATCATACTAGAAATTTAATATGTAATATTATAATTATTAAATTTATAATCATTAATTAAGTATTGTGCTAATGTAGTCAATTACTAGTTTAATAATATAATGTCTAATTAATTTGTAATCTTTAATTTGTAATGTTATAATTAATTATGTTATATACTATAATGTAATATTATAATGAATTGAGTAATCATTATAAATCTTTAATGTAATATTATAATTAATTAAATTTCTAATCATTAAGTGTTGTACTAATGTTTATAATGGAATGCTATAATTAATTAGTAATATTTGTTTATAATGTAATGTTATATTAATTAAGTAATTGTACTATTCTATATGTAATGTTATAATTATTAATTAATATGTACTAAATTACTAATATAACTGTATAAACTAATAATTAATTAAGTAATCATTTAACTATAATAATGTTTAATGATTAAGTAATCATTACTAGTAATGTATTATGTTTATCAATTTATCATATATAATTATTAATTACTAATTTACTATATATACTTAACTGATGATTGGTAAATACTAATATTATATTATTATTCAATCAGATATACTATTTATTCAAAAATAATTTTTTTAAACATCAAAACACTTTTAGTTTGTTATATCCAATTATACATTTAATTAATAAAACTTTAATATAATATATTAAAGTTTTTATATGTGTAATTTATATGTAATAGTATAAGTGAGTAATACTACACATACATCATTTTCATACAATATTTTCCATACAACATTATGGCAAATATGATAGCTAATTTAAAGTTAAAATTAAACTTTCACCCAATCATATCTTGTCACATAATATTGTATGGGAAATTTTGTATGAAAATAATGTATGTGTGCATTATTCTAAGTAATTTAATATTTATTTAATTAGGTTAGAAAATTTCATAATATTTTATTCACACCAAGCTCCAAACAGGTATTCCTTGCAGTTTCCAAGTTGGATACCTGTTGCAGTTTCTGGTTTCTCAACATGTAGGAATGGAATCCGGAACTGAACCGTCCAATGTCGATTCTAAAAAATGAACCAGAACCTATCCCATAGTATCGGTTCTAGGTAGATTCTTTCGGTTTCGGTTCCACCTGTTCCTGTGCTCATCCCTTAATAAACTTATCAAAGGAAAAACGTACAATGCACATGTGTCAGATAGTCTTCTTCAAAAGATTTGCTTCTATCTGATGTTATACATAAAATCATTGTCAACTTATACTTATTAAGTCCCGTATGTTGATTCCAAATACTAGCTTGTCAAAAGCGGATGTGGATATGTTTTAGTAAACAAATCTGCAAAATTATTGTTAGAGCATATCCTTTAACATCGATTGTTTGATTCTCCTGAAGGTCATAGTAATAAAAAATTTTAGAATGCGGGTGGTTTATGTTTTATCTCCTTGATGTATCATCCTTTGACTTATCAATACAGGCTCATATCTATATATGGTCATAGATTATTTGTGATGGAGAAAGTCTTCATGTACTTCTAATTATGGTTTAGATTGTAGTTATGCATTAGTTCAGGAAAAAAAAAAAAAAGGGTCTGTCTACACCTACAATTTGCGAATAAAGAAAGAAGTAACCTGACGAAGACAGAGCTCAATGTAACAATATAGTTCAACTACACTGAAAGTTGGTTTCTGGTTGCAACACCAATCTTCATCTAATTTTGTGGCCAACTTGGAAAAGCGCAAAGCAGTGCTAGTACACAGTACAAACAGGTAATTAATTAGATAATAATTATTATAGATAAGGTAGGCACAATTTAGATAAAAAGGTTGTAAATGGGGGTGTGTAGGCAGCAAGATGAGAGAAAGGGACTTGTCACTTGTCGGTGCAGGCCTGCTTAAAATTAATAGCGTTTGGGCTATTACTTAGTAGCCTTCCATAGATTCAGACTCAGCCCCAAACTCACACTACTGTGTCTGTGGTCCAAACTCACTTCAACCCCATGCCTCTTATCTTCATTATTACTATTCATTTCTTTTACCTTTTATTCATTCTTGTCAGGTTCTCTCTTCGTACAATTTACCGCCCACAGGTCCAGCACTTCGCAGCTGGCCTCAATAATCATATGCCTTCCTTCTCATCAATATTTATTTCCTTTTTTTTTTTTTTTTTTTTTTTTTAATGATTGGTATCATGATCATTGATATGAACCTCATATCTTTTAAAATCTTAATTATTAGTTTGAATAGTTTCAATAACTACCTATTAATACCGAAAATTTAAATTCAAAACCTTTTAAATAATATTAAAAATTTTATGAACTACTGACTTTGTTAAATTGTTAATTAAGAGAATTTAATCTCTTGCGGTTTAAGTATAAACTACCATGGAAATCTTAAAAAAACTCTTCCCGATTTGAATGAACATAGTCAAAACCATCAATATTATTATTTAAAATTTTCGTCATTTCATTTTAACTAATAAATTGTACAAACTTTCTAATATTTGAAACGACATGATCTGAACACTTGTTATTATTGTTTTCCCAATCTGAAGGTAAATTTGTTACAGTAGAGTTTATAAATAAATTTTTAAAGAAGCTTGAGAAAGTAATAAAAAGGAAAATATGATGGAGATTGGAGTATAATTGAGTTGACCCATAGATGATATGACACTTATGTTTAGAAATATCTTACACATTGATTGCTGGTGTGACTACTAATAAGGTAATCGAAAACGATGTAACATCAAATATGGCAATACCAAAATAATTACTCAATTTTTTGTTAAAATAAAACCAATAAATATTATACCCCTCTTTATACATGAATAATATTTTATTTATTTTATTATTATTTTTTTTTATGAT